AATATATATTTTTAAAAAATATCTTTCGAAGAGTTAATTTTAAAATTAAAAATATATGTATAGTTGAACACCCATAATTAACTAATTTTAAATTAGGAATATATTAAATATTTAAAAAAAGTTTATAGCTTTTTTTTTTTTAATGCAAAGTTAAAACATTATGGATAAAGTTATAAATTAAACCGTTTCAGGGCGAGGGAGTTGGATGCGGCAGTTGGCTGTCACGCTTCCTTGAAGGTGAGTCGACCTTTTTATTTATACTCTTTTTTTTTCTTTATTTCTTCTTTTTTCAAATACTTTCAACCGTGAAATTATTTAATAATTTTTGGTGGTTAGAATATATATATTTTTAATAAATCTTAAAACTAGTCGATCAATAACTCAAATTTTTAAAAAAGATTAATATTATATTTTTTTTCCATTAATTATCTCGATTGATCAAAAAAGGGTCGTGAATATAATAATACATCGATCTTTAGCGATGTCTGAGTTCATTTTGAGTCGCTCGTGTTGGATGAAAGTCCCACCTCGGCTAATTTAGAGAATGATCGTGCATTTATAATCAAGAAATACTCTATCTATTGATATGAGGCATTTTGGAGAACCCAAAGCAAAGTAATGAGAGTTTATACTCAAAGTAGATAATATCATACCATTGTGGAGAGTCTCATGTTCATCTAATAGCTCGCAGCGATGATATCTGATCTCTAAGACATGGAAGCTAGAACGAGATGAAACCCAAAGCAAAGTATGAGAGTTTAAGCTCAAAATAGACAATATCATACCATTGTGCAGAGTCGTGTTCTAACGATATAGAAACCCGAAACAAAGCCATGAGAATTTTAAGTTCAAAGTAGACAGTATCATACCATTATGCCGAACCCGGGTCGAACATTGGGCCCAAACTGTGGGCTTATTGGGCCCAAACTGGGTCGAACATTGGGCCGAACCCGGCTTTAATGGGCTCGCCCCGTCTCCATCTCTGAACATTTCCAATTTTCCAATCCCGAACGGATTTCAAAGAAGGCGGCTGCCTTATAAGCTTCCCTTTTAATATCTTCATTTCATTCACAATTCAATCAATCCTTGCGATTTTCCGTCTTGTTTGACTCTTCTTCTAGCCGCGTCAGGGTTTGTTTCTGAATCTCTGCCATTTATTTCATCGAATTCTCTCGTTCCTGTGATTATTCTTATCGATTGCAATTTCTAGATCTCTATCGGCTTCTGCATGTTCCATGATTTGATTGCATATATCCGCGATTAGGGTTTTCTTGTTATATTGTGGAATCGGTAGAGATCTGGAATTATCTATCTGTGGCTTGTAGATCTGTTCAATGGAGATCTTTAGCGTTGAATTATTGACATTTTTTTCCATTTGTGATGCAGCGTTGTTGATAACAGGTTGGTTGAAGGAAGATGGGAGGTGGATTTAGAGTTCTTCATCTGGTTAGGCCGTTCCTTTCATTTCTCCCTGAGGTGCAGAGTGCCGATCGGAAAATTCCATTTAGAGAGAAGGTTATTTATACCGTCATCGCCCTCTTCATCTTCTTGGTATGCAGTCAGCTTCCTCTCTATGGTATTCACTCCACGACGGGCGCAGATCCGTTTTACTGGATGCGTGTGATTCTCGCTTCTAATCGTGGTACTGTCATGGAGCTTGGAATCACCCCGATTGTCACATCTGGGATGGTGATGCAACTCCTTGTCGGGTCCAAGATTATTGAAGTCGACAACAATGTCCGGGAAGACCGTGCTCTCTTGTAAGTTCCGATTTACCACGCTTCCTGATTTTTTGAGTCCTTAATGGAAAATTACTTAGTATGGTTGACAATCATGCATCCTTCTGTTGGATTCGGCGAAGATTATTCCCATAGATGTTCCATTTTCAGTCGTGCCCGGCATTAGTTTTTCTGTATTGTAAAAGAAATTTGTTTTCCAACATTTTTTAATCTACTTTTTACAAATGTTTTTTAAACATAGCCTGCATTAATTTCTCTGTTAGAAGATTTTTTTTTTTCAAAGCTTTAGTTTGTAGTTGAAGTTGGGTGCATGCTATATTTTGCTTTCTGTAAGTTATGTATTGGTGAACAATGATGACATGAAGCACTGTGGCTGCCTTTTTTGTTTGTTTAGTACGATGATATAATTATGTTGATTTGTTTTCTATTGTTTTCCTAAATGTCATTATTCTACAAACTTGTTATGAATGCATTTATCGTTCACATTGATATCATACTGCTAATTTGATTTCTTTTCTGATCGACATCATCTGAATTCTAATTTGACATGCATACATTTTTTCCAATTATTTTCCACCTTCAGAAATGGTGCACAGAAATTGTTGGGCATCCTGATAGCCGTTGGTGAGGCAGTTGCTTATGTTCTCTCGGGAATGTACGGTAGCGTTAGCCAACTTGGTGTGGGCAATGCTATTCTTATTATAGTTCAGCTCTGTTTTGCTGGTATTGTTGTCATATGCTTGGATGAGCTTCTCCAGAAGGGTTATGGTTTAGGATCTGGAATTTCCCTCTTCATAGCAACCAACATGTGGTAAGTTCTCTTTCCGTTCTGTGATCATTTCTCATCGAGTTTGTGTTTTCTGATCACATTGTCATTGATGGATTTTTCGTAACTGTCTGGATTTTGCAGTGAGAACATTATTTGGAAGGCTTTTAGTCCAACCACCATTAACAGTGGAAGAGGAGCTGAATTTGAAGGAGCAGTCATTGCGTTGTTCCATCTGCTGATTACCCGAACGGACAAAGTTCGGGCATTGCGGGAAGCATTCTATCGGCAGAACCTTCCCAACGTGACAAATCTGCTTGCTACAGTTCTGATCTTCTTAATTGTTGTTTACTTCCAAGGGTTCCGCGTGGTTCTGCCAGTGAGGTCCAAGAATTCCCGTGGGCAACAGGGTTCTTATCCAATTAAGCTCTTCTACACCTCCAACATGCCAATCATCCTTCACTCTGCTCTTGTTTCCAACCTTTACTTTATCTCTCAGGTATGTTGAATTTTGTCTTTCCATGAACAACTGCAATGCACTTAGCCAGTGCCTCTAACTGATTGCCTGGAATTGTGCTTGCAGTTGCTGTACAGGAAGTACAGTGGAAACTTCCTGGTGAATCTTCTGGGTATATGGAAGGAATCTGAATACTCAAATGGTCAATCTGTCCCTGTTGGTGGTCTTGCTTATTACATCACCCCACCATCAAGGTGATATTCTTAGTTCCAAAAAAGGAAAAAGTACTCTATAATGCCTATGTTCTTTTTTGTAATATGTGGCGTTTCTTCTTGCAGCTTAGCCGATATGGCTGCCAATCCCTTCCATGCTTTGTTCTATCTTGTCTTCATGTTATCAGCTTGTGCACTCTTCTCAAAAACTTGGATTGAAGTTTCTGGATCCTCTGCCAAAGATGTGGCTAAGCAGCTGAAGGTATGACTTACCCGATCCTGAACGAAGATAAAATTACGCCCCTTCCAGCTTTTCAAATGAAAAGTCTGTCCATTGTAGTAGTTCATCATTTGGGGTAACATTCAATAGTGATTCTTGATAATGCTTTGTTTTGATTTGCAGGAACAACAAATGGTTATGCCTGGACACCGTGAATCTAACTTACAGAAGGAGTTGAACCGTTACATACCGACAGCTGCAGCATTCGGAGGAATGTGCATTGGTGCACTGACTGTGCTGGCTGATTTCATGGGAGCAATCGGTTCTGGAACTGGAATTTTACTTGCAGTCACAATCATTTATCAGTACTTCGAGACCTTCGAGAAGGAGAAAGTCAGCGAACTGGGTCTGTTCGGTTTCTAAACCTTTTCGCTCAGTTTAATTTATACTTCGATGGTGCCAAAGAGCTCCCTCTCAATTTTGGTGCCTAGGGATTTTCTTAAGTCTTATGTTAACTCATCTTAGGTATCATCACTTTAGCTTTCTTTCACTGTAAGAGCACATAATATCATCTTGAGACTCTGAATCTCCACGCCTTCTCTTTTATGCGTCGTCTTCGATGTTCATTTTTTCGCTTCCACAAAACCATAGATTTAACAGATAAAGTCAGGTTTATATGTTAGCTAGGTTATTGTCCCAAGGCGTGGTAGCTGAAACGTCGTTCGTCGGTCAGGTTAGGAGAGCAAGCTACCGTGTTTATAGCTTTTCGAGTTCAAATTTTCAATTTGTAACAACATTGGATGCCTTTTCTTCCTTTGAGAGGACTTACGTTGAACTGCAAACATGTTATCTTTTAACTGCATTTCTTTGCCATTTTCTCGTTCATACTCGGTTATCTAAAAGAAATATATTGGAATTTTAGCTCCACGATATGAATCACAGTTAGGTGGAAGCATGGGAAGGTTCTTATTATGAAATCTAATAAACCTTGCCCGAATGGGCGTGTAACAATTTGGGAATCGAATTCAAGGACATCAGAGAGCACAAAAGTAAAAAGAAAAAAAAAAGTAAGCCTAATCTAGCTACTCACCAACAGCACTAGTGAACATTTTATGTATGAATATGTATGAGGAACGAAAAGGAGTACAAATTGAAAGGAATCTAATCCAAGCTTACAATAGACAAAAGGAGGATTATAATCAGAAGAAAAAGCAAAAAGCAGTGCATGGTGTAGGTAGGTGGCTGTTCCGAATGTGCTTTAGCTTAACCAAAAAGCAAAGGCAGATATTCTGGCCTTACCTGCCCAGACAATTGCAGAGTTTTCTGAATCTCCCTTTCGTTCTTCTGCTTTAAACATCCCCCCCTTGCAGTTGCAACAGTACTGAGCATGTCTGAGATCGAAGGACAACTGTATATACCAAATTCAAATTCTGCGGTGCCAAAATGAGAAGCCAAAGAATGTGAATATTCTTCATGTTTTCCATATTTTTGACAAATGGAAGTAAAATTATAAGATTCGTGAATTTTGATTTCTTCTTTTTCGTTCTTCAATCGTAAGAATACAATTAACAGAAACTCAAAAGAGAAACCTAATTTCTCTTGTTTCTTCATTTTTTCCTGAATCATTTTGAATCGCGGATCATAATGGGAGAGAATTGCTCAAAAGTTGTAAGGTGGAATCAATGATTCTAAGAACACAACAATCCCTGCAATAAACACCAGAAAATTGCCAATTAGAATCAAACAACAATAACGAGATAACTTCCACATTCATATGCATATAACCACAACGGATATATAGAAGTAAGCTCATACACTTTTGAAGTTCGTATTTGTAGACTGAAAATGAAAATCATGCTTATAATCAATAAGTAGACAATAGCGGTTTATGTACGATTCTAATTCTTTACTTCGACAATTATGAGTAAGTAAATATAGTTTTTCTGTTTCCTTTTCTCTTCGATTTCTCGTTCGCTTGAATAAAAACTCTCTGCGAATACGTTTGTTTCAAGTTTCAAGCATAAAACGCAATGATTTCACGATTTCTCAAACAATCCTGAATCTACTGCAGGTTCTTTCACATTAGAGCGAATCGATTTCGAAAACAATAAAACGAAACAGAGCAGTCACTACGTAAATCACAATGAGATCGTGAGAGCACTTACTCCGAAACAAGTTATAAGTTTCCTCCATGCCTTCTTCGCATTCTCAAGCTTCGAGAGAACCTCATAACCAGAGCAAACATCAGCCGGCGAATCCAGAAACACTCGCCGCGGAATCGGCGGAGACCACAAACTACTCTGTTCGTAATCGAAGTCGAATTTCGAGGCATCGAAGAACTTGCCGAGAAGGCGATCCGACGCCAATTTAGACACGAGTTGAACGCTCAGACTCTTCGGAGTAGCGCAATCAAGAAATGAAGAAGAAGAAGAAGAAGAAGAAGAAGAAGAAGAAGAAGAAGAATCGGCAGAGGTTGGCATCGGAGAGATGATGGAGAAGAGAAACTTCTCGACGAAGAAGAAGAAGTGTTGCAGCGTACGAAGGTATCGTGGAGCGCGTTTAGATTGATTGAAGACGTTGGGGGAAAATGTAAAATAGAATATTTAAAGGGGTCAAAATGTGATTTGTTTAAATATTTGGAGACCGTTATGAAACAGTTATTATAGTCCAAAGAATGTTAATTTGGCGTGATTTGGAAGTAAACTAGAAAAATAAATAAATAAATTTTAATAAATTTTTTTATAAATTGATATATCTCCTTCGCATTTACACGTAATCTCAGTTCATTCATGCTTCAATCTGTTTGAGAATCGTACTACATGCTTCATTTATCTGTTCGAGAATCTTACTGTTATATTAAATTATCACTCCATCATCAAATTAATGTCAAGAATTAAACTCTACTTAATATCCGTCCCATTTAACATATGACCTCATTTCTGTTCTGTTTAGTCTCATCTCGGATGTGACGCCACTGTTCTATTCGAGAAATGCGTTAAACTAGGTTGTCACAGTTAAATTATTGTTGGGAATTGAAGTCTTATTGTCCCTTTTTTTTTTCTATTTAGGTGTTAAGGTTGTTGCTTATTTACTTGTTGTTAGCCATAAAATTTATTTTTTTAAATTGATTTTCGAACGTTTTTTAAAACTTGGGTTGTTTATGTTTTCTAGAATATTCTACGAGGAATAGGGTCGGAGGGTTGAACATATGTCGCTCGGGTCAACCGTGACTCAAAATCTAGTGGACTAACCAATAATCTCCCAATCAAACCAATAATTAAAGAATGGAGCGTGCAGGTCCAGAATAAGCAAACGTGGACCTTCCTTCACAACTTCCCTTTCTTTTATTGATTTCACGCACTTCCTCCCACTTGATTTTGCATTTCATTGATTCTCTCTCTCTCGCTCTCTCTCTGGTTCGATTCTTCTTCTTCTTCCTCGTAAAGTTTGAAGTAAATCGAAGCAACAATGGCGGGTTACAGAGCTGATGATGATTACGACTACCTTTTTAAGGTGGTTCTGATTGGGGATTCCGGCGTCGGCAAGTCCAATTTGCTGTCCAGATTTACTAAGAACGAGTTCAACCTCGAGTCCAAATCCACCATTGGTGTAGAGTTCGCCACCAGGACTTTGAACGTCGATAGTAAAGTTATTAAAGCTCAGATTTGGGACACTGCTGGCCAAGAAAGGTTTTGTTTCTTCTCTCATCTTGATTTATCTTCGTTTCTTGCAATCTCCTTGGTTTTCCTTCCTTTGATTTCCGTCTGAGTTGTTTCTTCGCGTTTTGGATTATTGTTGCTGCTTACTGTTTTCTGTGTTGGTTGAGTGTTCTGGTTTCCGAGTTTGGTTAATTAGCGTGTTCTGGTTCGCCGAGCGGGTTGTAATAACCTAGATCTGTTTGATGGGAGGTGTTTTCTTATCAATCTTGTGTTCTTATAGTTCAATCGAGTGTTTTAATGCTCTCGAAGTTGGTTCTGATGTCTTCTTACTGCGATATGTTAAGGCTTTGTTCTTCAACTTTCATGGTTGGAAGGGTAACAACGCTGGTTGATGATGGTTAAAAAAGCTTAGATTCAGAAGGCACTGAAGAATTCATTGATTAGATGTTAGTGAAGTAGTTGGGATTCGGAATTGTCTGAGCGGACTCTTGTTGAGGAAGATTATGGCTTCTGTTTCGCAGATCGTGTGCTCCTCTGAGCCATTTCATTTTCAAATATCTTATAATTTGAATTAGCAACAGAAAGTTTTGATTCTTCCAATTATTCTTTCCCCTGTCTCCCGAGAAAGTATAAAGGTATCTGGCTTCCTTCTACAGGAATTCGTCTCCTGTTTTCCATGGGGGATATATTGAAATTCTCTTTCATGCATTGTAGCTCCTCAACCTTTTGATTTGTTTCTCAAAATATCTCCGGGAGGAAAAAAAAAAAAAAAATTATTTCAATGAAATTTCTATTCTGGGTTAGCAGGGTTATTGAACACAATAATGCCATTGATTTCCTATTTTAAGAGAAGCTCAAACTGACGCTATAATGACTTAGAAGTAGTTTAGAGTCTCTTTCTAACAAGAGAAACTATGCCATCTGGGGATCTCGTTGTATGTGGAACATTTGTGTAACAATTCAAGCCCACCTCTAGTAGACATTATTCACTTTAGTAACGTATCGCCCTCAGCCTCATAGTTTCAAAATGTGTCTGCTAGGGAGAGTTTTCCACAGGGAATGCTTCGTTCCCTCTCCAACTGATGGGATCTTGAGCTGTTACATTTTTCTCATAGTTTCTTGGGCTTACTATTCTCACTCGAACTCAATGACACCATGGTACAACCTATAGAACAGATCTTGTTCTAGTAAGGTCGTCGCTCCTAGTCACTTTGTTATGAACTTTTATTGGTTTTGTCTAATTAGCCCAAGCTCTCATAAAAACTGAAGCTTCTATGATGGATTGCCTAGAAGATATAAAGGTGCCACTGCCCCCTTCCACAAAATAAGCATCTGACAAAGGAAATGAAATGATCTGCAATTCTTGATGTGTTTTCTAACTCTCGATTAACTATGATTTTACCATTTGTTTTTGTTATACCTTTAATGATGCTCATGAATGTTGATTAGTAGATCGCAAAATTCTTTTCTAATAGTTAAGAAGATGGCTTCATCGTTCATCAATAAGAGTCTGGTAGACTGATTGTGCGATCTAGTTTACAATCTCTCAAGTTTTCTTTAAATTGAATGAGCTGTTCAGATCTTACATGGGTTCTATGTCTATAGGTACCGTGCCATCACCAGTGCCTACTACCGTGGAGCAGTTGGTGCACTCCTCGTATACGATGTCACTCGTCATGCGACATTCGAGAACGTCGACCGGTGGCTAAAAGAATTGAAGAACCACACAGATTCCAACATCGTTGTGATGCTTGTTGGAAACAAATCCGATCTTCGCCACCTTGTTGCTGTTCCAACTGAAGATGGAAAGTCGTACGCCGAGAAGGAATCACTGTATTTCATAGAAACCTCTGCACTAGAAGCAGTCAATGTCGAGAAAGCATTCGCTGAGGTCCTAACTCAGATCTATCACATTGTAAGCAAGAAGGCGGTCGAAGGCGGAGAAAATGGCTCTGCTGCCTCTGTCCCTGCCCAGGGGGAGAAAATAAACATCAAAGACGAATCGGGTTTAACCAGAATCAAATGTTGCTCGAGCTAACTTCGGTAATCTGCCTAGATGATTTTCGATTTCATGTAATGTAATATATTCTTTCCTTGAAGATGGTTATGAAGAAAAAGGAAGATATATATATATCCCCAAGACGTTCAATCTTGCTGCATTACAGAAAGAGGAGTACCTTAGCTAGCCACATGATTGGTTCGTGGTTGCTGTTGTGTCATTATTAGCATCTTGGTTTCAAGTTTCTATGGAAAATGTCCACCATTTTAGCCTCTACTACTACCCCTTTGATCTGTATAAGCATTCATGGATGTCCTATGATGATAATGATGTTGATGAACCCTCATATTCATTCATATGTTGTTTAAGTCAGTTATGATGGCTCTTTGAGCTGTGAACTTCATATTTGTAACAGTTATATTACTTTTTAGCCTTCCTATTTTTGGAAAAAATTATCATTTTGGTCCCTTTACTCTGATTTTTATCCTATTTTTGTTATTATACTGTCAAATATTTTAAATTTAATCTCATTACTCTTCATAGATGTTAGATCTTAAATTTAGTTGTTGCTACTAGTTTTTTGCGGTTTTTCTAAAAAATTAGTATGTATTTGATAGGAATCACGACTCACCCCTCGAACAAAGTACACTATAAGCCTCCTCGTAGGCTTGTGGAGCTCTCGAACAGCTTCTCCTTAATCGACATGGCTTTGATACTATGTTAGGAATCACGACTCTCCACAATGGTATGATATTGTCCACTTTGAGCATAAGCTCTCATAGCTCCTCTCGAACAAAGTACACTATAAGCCTCCCTGGAGGCTTATGGAGCTCTCGAACAGCTTTCCCCTCAATCGACATGCTCTGATACTATGTTAGGAATCACGACTCTTCACAATTGTATGATATTGTCCACTTTGACCATAAGCTCTCATAGTTTTGCTTTGGGCTTCCCCAAAATGCCTCATTATACTATGGAATCATGACATTATTCCTCCCTTTGAGCATAAGTGCAGTTTAGGACAGGGCTCTGATACTATGTTAGGAATCACGAATCTCCACAATGGTATGATATTGTCTACTTTGAGTATAAGCTCTCATGGCTTTGCTTTGTGCTTCCTAGAAGGTCTGATTCAAATACAGATAGTATTATTCACTTATAAAACTCATTATCTTCCACTAAATTAACCAACGTGGGACTCACTCTTAGTAATCCTCAACAGTATTAAATTTACTTTATCATATTATGTATGATTGGGACCAATTCAATCACGTTTTCATTCATTTGGAATACACAATTATTATTATGTAATTAACTTTTATATAAATTAATTTTAAATAACTAAATTTGAATAATTGAAAGTATACTAAGTAGAATGTAATTCAAAATTTATTTATAAGATAAAAGATTGAATTAGAAATAAAATAATTTAATATAACATTACTAATTTTTAAATCTCATTCAAAAGGTGAGATGTAAAATAAACATAAAATAATTAATTTTGTTATTATTATTATTTAGAAATTGTCATAAATTTTGTATTTTTTTTTAATAATAAACTTGTGAATTGAAGTTCAGAGCCCATTATAAGCCCAACCAGAAACCACATGCGCATAAACACAGACACACACGGCCTCCCGCCCAATTTTGTTCTCTTCAATTTTCCCTCTCGATTTCAGACCGTCGAAACCCCATCGGAGGAACTCGGCGTTTCGATTCTCTACTGTTCGACAAATCTCACTTCTTCTGAGCTATCAAAATCCATGGTAATGAGGGAGGAAGAAATCGAGAAGCTCCGAGGCGTAGTAAGGGACTGCGTGAGCAAGCATCTCTACTCATCCGCCATTTTCTTCGCTGACAAAGTTGCCGCTTTCACTGAGGACCCTGCCGACGTTTACATGCAGGCGCAGGCCCTCTTTCTTGG